ACCTCCCCCTATCCCTTTCCCCCCCACCTATCCCATCCCCATCAAACACCCCACAAACAAACAATTCCCTCATCTCCTCCAACATCCTCAAATCCCTCGTAAAGGTCGGGTCTCTTGGGTCCGGATTTTCAATTAAGCACCAGAAAACAGTGAGAATAGCAGAGAGGATAAATTGTGCATGGATCCTATCCACCACACACACACCGTTTGTATCAGTATACTATACATAACTAGGGACAGGATGATTATAATACAGGAAGGGGGAACTCACCAAAAACTAAACCGATCGACCAACCCCCCAGGACCAGAAGTCAAATAATACAGTAATGTCGACCTGGACGCCTGATAATACAGCTCTAGACTGGAAGCAAGCGGGGCAGAAACGACGGATAAACTAGTCGTGATACTCGCTTCATGCAGTTTGCGAATACAGTAGTGGTATTCGAGGTGGATATTGACCGGGCGGATATTGATCACTTTCTGACTACGGTCTTCGTTGGAGGGGATTGTTGTTGGATCACGATGATTGGATGTGCTGGTACTGGAGCTATGTTCTGAACTAGGAGTATGTGCTTGTGCATGTGTAGGAGTATGTCCCAGTGGATACTCGGCATACAGCTCACTTAAATCCTGATCGAGTTGGCGGATATGCGCGAGACGGCGGGCCGACGGGAGGGATTGGGCGTGGCTGGAGTAGAGGCGGTTGTAGATGTGGGATTTGAAGATGGCGAGACGGATGTCTGTTGGGTAGAGGAGGGGGGGATTGGAGGTGTCGTAGAATGATGGAGAAGATGGAGATGGTTGCGGTGGGGGTGGAGAGTGGGTGGTGGAGCCGATGTAGGTTTGGGGGAGGTCGAGGTCGACGTCGATGTCGTGGATGAGAGGTGGTGAGCAGGTGCGGATGCACATTTCTTTATCCATGCTGTAGCAGAGCCAGAATATGGCGCGAAGGTGCGAATGGCTTTTGCTACTGTGGGTTGGGGATGATTCTGGGAGAGGGGTGATGCGGTGGCCACCTAATTGGTATAATATGCGGATGGCGGTTGAGAGGAGGATTTGGGCTTGTTGAGGGTAGCCGGCTGGGGCGATGTGGAGGGCCTATATCTATGTTAGGATATAGAGAGTATGGTCGAGTAGGGGAAAGGGAGGGGGTTACCAATATGAGAAAGGTTTCTAGTTTCTCCACACTAGCTAGCTCAAGCATCAGCTTAGGCACGAGTGTCAGTACGGACTGCACATAAGCGTCCGGATCTGTATCTGCAAACTGCGGCTGGTGGTGATTTTGCTTGGTGATAAAGGCTGCGAAGGCGAAGAGATGGGCTTTGTCTGCTGTGGTAGGCGCGGGATCTGTTCGACCAGAGACGAGGGCATTAAGGACAGCCTGGGAGGCGGATACATCCACAACAGGCAACGTCAAGTACATGCTCTTGGCGACGTAGTAGTCGAGACATTGCTGGATCAGCGTGTAGCTGGGCCATTGAGGACTGGTCACTGTTGGCGAGATGCAGACATACTGGGATTTGTAGGACTCTGTCACGCGGGCTAAGAAGCCGGGCAAGTCCAAGACAGTACCAGTCTGGCGGTAGACAGTGGCATGGAACGAGGTGCGCTGAGGGGAATTAGTAGTGCCTGGCCAGGAACTTTCCAGATGTTGTTTAAAGATTTCGAAGGCTGTATCGAAATCGGATGAGTCCTGAGGATGCGATGGCGCGGCGAAAAGCGACATCGGCGGACATGGTGAGACAGATCGCAATTCATCCTGCAACTGGATGATTGGTGAAACTGCTCCTGGGAGAGAATGGCCAGCGATGAATCTTTCTAGTTCTTGTACACGAGCCTTGGCTTCAGCGAGTTGTCTGTAGAGATCAGCAATAATGTTACTATCAGATTGCCACTCGAACTTACTCTCTAATGGTCTTCCTCGGTTGACCAGTGATAGTAAAGGTACAAGTGACGCCAGCAAAATGACAATTCTCACATGCTGGCTTCTCTCCGTCGCACCGAATCTATACTGCATCAGTGATGAACCCGTAGTAAGAGACATAGGGCATGCACCTTTCTATGCCGGCACAGGTCACATGCACTCCTGGCCCTCCCGCCGCGTGGGGCCACAGCGTCAAGGATAGTATCTGCATCCATGCTGACAGACCGTAGGAATCAACCGACACTGCAACTTTGCTAATTAAGCGAGCATGAGATTCTCCGGCAGGAGATGCATGATTAAGACCCTTCAGGGTCCAAGAGAACTTGATCGCTGCCTAGAAGCTTAGTCATCTGCGTGCGTGGCCTGGCGGCCCCACTTGGGCGGGATTCCGCCGAGCCCAGACCAGCCCAGACACGATGCAAATATTGTGAAGATATAGTGTAGATACCAGTGAGAAGTAATTGATGAATTGTCAGTGGTCTGATCAACATTTGGCTGCAGTTACTTCTGTCTATGTTTTCATGATGCTTGGAATCTCAGTGTACCAGTGCCTGCCTGATACTACTGTGTACTATCTACCCATGAGTACTAGCGTTTCACTCTAAATATACCCTAAATATGACAAAATTGGGACATCCACTTTACTATTGCCGTCCTATCCGGTATTTGCATCCATTATTGCATGCTAATATTATATACTGGATGGACATAGTCAGGTTGTCGAGAAGTTAGGGCTAGGGTGGTCACGACACGGGTCTGACGGGAACGTGCATAACCCTAACTCGATCCCTACCAAGAGAACCTATGCTCACCTATACCATTATCCAAAATTGCATTCAGCGACTGATTCACGATACTTACGAGCATCTGAAGAATGAAGTGACTATTCATATAACACAGATTCTAAATCTAGAAATAAAAGTAATACACTCTAGTTCATCAATGCAAAGCAACGCCCTCTACTCTGGTAAGCATCTCTACTATCCAAAGGATAAGCCAAAAGGAAGGCAAAAAAGCGACTTAAGTAGTAAACTTCAACCCCCCATTAGCACAAACCACACTCCCGATACACCACGCCCCATCCTCCGTACAAAGCATCCCCACCACGCCCGCAATTTCCCTCGTAAACGCAGGCCTCCTCCCACCCATCTTCTCCCTAATCAACCTCTTCTGCTCCTCACTCAGCAACTCCTCCACGGCCTCCTCCCCATCCACCAACTTACTCAACGGCGTATTATCCTGGAACCCCTGCATCTGCTTCCAAAACTCCTCGCCCGTAGCAAAATACATGCCCCCACAACGACACCGGGATTCACCGCATTCACCGTCGCCACATCGGCCAACTCCCGGGCCCACGTCCTCGTCATCGCCTCCAACGCCGCCTTCGTGCCCCCATACACCGACTGGCCCGTGAACCCCAACGAGGACGAAATACTCGAGATGTTAATGATGCGGCCGCTGTGCGCGGGCTTGCGCGGGAGGTACTCCGCACAGGCTTGGGTGAGGAGCAGCGGTGCGAGTACGTTGATGGTGTAGTGCCAGTTGAAGTAGGCGGGGTCGATGGGGCCGGAGGAGGGGTCGTTGAGGAAACGGTCTTTGCTGACCCCGGCGTTGTTGATTAGGATGTCGATGGTGAGGGTGTTGGTGGTGGGCGAGGTGAAGTGGGTTTTGGCGGCGGAGATGATGGTGTTGACGGCGGGGGCGGGGTCGGGGTCGGAGAGGTCGGCTTGCACTGGGATGCAGGTGATTTTGTGCGTGGTGGATAGGGTGTTGCAGAGGGATTCGGTGCGGGTGCGAGAGCTGTCTGAGGTGTAGTTTAGAAGGAGAGAGCAGCCTTTGCTGGCGAGGTTGTGGGCAATGGCTTCGCCGATTCCTGGGAGGTATTAGTGGGGTGATGGCGGGGTGATGGCGGGGAGGAAGGGGATGGGGATGGGGTACCGCGGGAGCCACCGGTGATGATGGCGAATTTTCCTTCGAGGGAACGGGACATGTTTGATGCTATGTGGTGCAGTGTGAAGTAATCTGAAGTGAAAAAAAAAAAAGAAAAGAAAGAAAAGAAAAGAAAAAAGATAAACGGTACAATGAAGGAAAGCCGGGGAATCCAATTTATAGTCAAGTTCGAGTAAATGTAACTCGGGTAAATGGCCACCGGGAAATTACCTCATTGGTGCTCCGGCGGCACCAACATTGAGATATGCAATTAAGTAGTAACTTTGATCTACACAGTATAAAGTTAACATATACCCTAAATTCAGTTCCAAAGTAATATCTATACATTCTTCAACAACCCCAATAGCGTCTCCCCCACATCCTCTGCAGGGGTAGTTCAGTCAAGGGTGAAGCCTATGGACCTGATGCAGGTCACCTAAAGCGTCTGAAACTTGAGAGGAAGGTAGCATGAAAAGACCATGCCAGGTCAATACAGTATAATACGCTGGTATTCAGTCTTAATTCTCTGGCGTTATGATGCGTATCATGAAATCGGCGGCACGTAGAAGTAACCCTCATGCAGTCGACCCCATCCCTCGATCGGTTTTTTACCCCAGTCCCATTATACAATAGCCAGTTTAATCATGTCTGGTGGATGTAAGCAGTCATTTGGGGTGAAGGAAACCCGGATACAGTTTCAGCCAAGTCATCTAAGGTCTTCGTCCAACTGCACTTTAGGTGATCCTATAGTCAATCTCGACTATCTGTACGATGCTCCCTGGTTCACGAGTAATGTCGCTCGAAAGACTCTCACTTTTAACACTTCAGCTCACGAACGTGGATGCTGATTTAAAGATGCATACATCATACCCTGGAGGTTAACTGAAAGATCCGTCCAGCACGCGTGCTAGCAGTGCGCCAACTTTGCAGAGGTCGATGGTGTGAACTATATGCATGTTTATGCGTGAATATTCTGATGGCATACAGTCTATTGGTGTGACACATTGGGGTCGCTAACGGCAATACGACTCTCTGCGGGCGCCCTGACTGTAACTTACACCATAACGAGTAATGGAAGAAGGATGTTGACCCACACTCAGTATACCTCAAACGTAGAGAATCTCATGCTGTGAGGATACGTTGAATCATCTAATCTCAAAAACCGCTTCTGCTCTTGGCGAGGCAGGGGCTGGTGAGTTTTCTTTCTTCTTTCCGAGAGCGTGCACTGGTCCCTTTAGGCCTGTACAGTAGGGATGCAGTAGGGGTCTGGCCCGGTACAATGTTAAGCATGAATGTGTGACTGTATGCAATATGTAACGAAGGTTCAGACGGTCGCGCTTTTGTTTTTATGTGCTGTTTGCGTAAAAGGAATTAGGGAGTGAAGGAGAATGTGAGATACGGGATGGGACCCGTTTGGCACTGGAATGGGCCCCCTCCGGTAGAGTTTCGCACCCAGTACGCATCCAGTAAGATCTTCTACGATATCTTCTCGAGCTAGCCCAAGCAGACCCATCCATGATTTTGCTGGTTAAGCTGATTGGTCCAGACTTATACTCCCTTAGTGGATACAGCTAATACGCAGAACAGTAGTGAGAGCTTCTGCTCTCGGGGATATTCCTCGCCCCCCCCCCCCCCCCCCCCCCCCCCCCCCCCCCCCCCCTCCCTTCTTCCGCCCCGATTAACCCAGTGCAAAGCCGGAGCGATGATATTTTGGCATTTTTCCCTGGTATTTCATTGGTGCGGTCCAATTGTCAGGTAATACATACACACACGTCTAGTCCCACCCGATGAAGAAACGGAAACCGGACAGCAGACCATCCGTTCCTCATTCACGTCCGTTTCCCGAGAACCGTCTGCAACCACTACGCGCTATTCCAATCCTTAAATAGATGGCTTATTTCCCTTATCAGCCTCTACTCTACTTGGCATTCCTTCCATCCCATCTTCCAGTCGTTCTGACTTGTCAAGTTTGCTAATCCCATGACCATCGTGCAACCGATATTTGCGACTCGTCCGCCTCACTGTTCGCTAATTACGGGAAGGCCATTGGTTCCCTTCGTTCTTTTAGGTTCACACTCACCACACTATCTCTGCCGCCGTCGCGTGCCACTGAGGCGCGAGTCACTTTGTCCTTCCATGCTGTCAGCCTTGGCCGCATCGGCATGAAAGATATTAGGGGCTCAAAGTAAAGAGCGACAAAACAAAATTGCCATAACCGAATTATCGCATCAGTATATTTGTCTGCGTGTGCGGAGAGTCTATGGGTTTTCATGTACCAACCAGAAACCCGCGTTCGCACAGCTCCGTGTTGATTCTTATCCAACCTGCATGGCTTTCACGCTAAGTTGAACTTCCGATGTGAATACGATAAGTTGGGACTGTGTGTCAAACTTGTAGAACCACGGCAGCTGAAGTGGGCCTGATAAAAGAAAAGAAGGATAAGCAGAAACCGTACCTTGACTAGGCTAGTCCCTCCCGTCACAGATGCACGGCGAATCAACTGCGGATGGAGAGAATGGCCTGCCCTGTACTTCTGCATTATACGGGCAGCCTTGGTGCCCTCCGTATTCCTCTTCTGATGACAGACACAGGCATCTTACCGCACAGATATTAACCGTCCATTAGCCTGCACTCTTCCCAAACGGATATCCTGCCTTGCCAGGCTGAGAGATGTCACAGCTTCCACGAGATGGCCTATATGGCCAATAAGGGAGGCTGGTTGGCGTGATGCATAACACCCCCAAATATCCACTACCCAGCCCAAGCTCTAGCCTTATGAGTGACTCTTTACAAGAGCCCCAGCCTCATTCTGAGTCTTCCAGTTATCAGCTGCAGGTGCCATTTTCAGCCCAGGGGCCGAACAGCAGTAGACAATCTCTATCCTCTTATCCACCACCACACCAAATTTCCAATATGTTATCCCACGCTCGCTCGTGAGCGGGAGGTTCCTATGCCAAACACTCTCGATATTCGCAGAAAGTAAACCCCTGGAATGTGTTGCCCCAAAGCCCACCGGACGCAAGATGTTAAGCCTCTACTTAAATCAACACTACGCAAATTAGCGGCGCATATCGGGACCTCTGACTGACTTGTAATGCTTGGTACCTTTGTGAATGCCTGTCGTCACTGCCGAATAAAGAGAACAAAATGCGACGAAAAAAGGCCCACGTGTGAACGTTGCAAAGGTCAAAAATCTGAGATGTGTCTATACAGGGGACAGTGTTTCGCAATACTTTAGAGAGTTGAATTTGGCTAGTGCTTCAGTAAAGATCAAACAGCTTGTGCTGATGACTGCTGTAGGAAGAATATGGCGACCTGGCTTCTTCTAGACCGAATATTTGATTGAGAAGATGGCCTGAATGAAAGTCTTGGACGACTCTCAACAATCCAGGCACGGATCTCGACTCAGCTGACTTCTGTGCTCGTTAATGAGGGCCCCAGCCTGTGACTGAGACTACCGTGTGTAGCCCATCTAGAATCTCCCGGTCAAAGTGTCATCGTCGGAAGGAGCCTGCCTGCAGCAGGTTGGGGTACGCCGAGCTCGCCACGGGCAGGGGCCCTCTAACCAGGGCAAGGGCTCGAGCAGAAGCATCTCGTTCATTCCCCATCCGCCAACGGGGCCGGCCTTACTCGGATGCGGAAGATGCGCTCCTTCGTAAACTGGTGTACAGAAAACTTGAATGGGAACGTATCGAGGAGGAATTCGGTCGGAGGTTCACTGGAAGGGATTTGAAATCCCTGCAAAGACGATGGTCAAGAATTTTGAAGTTTGAAGCCCGGCCGGTGACACGTTCAAAGCCTAGGGGCAACTAGCGTCCGGGGCTCTCTTTTTGTGCTCAGGAAGTCCCAACTATTCCCCACTCTTCTCTTACTCGGGGTCTGCTGGGAACAGTCCGTGTTGGATCTTGTTTCGGGACTCAACCCTTAGTTCACTATCAACCCTCCCCCTCACGTGCGAAAAGCGGAGGCTGTACTCATCAAGCAAGGGAAATAAAAAACATTGTTGGTCTAGGTATCGAATGGCTTCTTCCCATGCAACTATATTGTTTCAGGATATGCTAGCTGGTTAATCAGCTCCGGATTTACTTGCTTTTGAAGCCTTAACTTCATTATGTGCTCTAGCCGTACAATGCTTCCCAAGCCATACGAGTAATAGACACTTCCGAGTAGGGTGAAATGTCAACCGCTTTTGCGCGTTTCTTTATTGATTCCATCGTCCCACCATGGCGAGTCGCCACAGCGTCCAAGTCACGCTAAATGCCAGGATGTTGTTCAAATCCTTGACGGTCATTCGCCAAGCTATGGTAGTGCCTAAGTAGGATACTGGCCTATGTAGTGGTTCCTATATAGGATGCTGGCCTATGTCGATGTAACTTTTCTTTCTCTCTTTCTCTCTTTCTCTCTTTCTCTCTTTCT